AACAAAAAAACACATACTAACTATATTTTAAAATAATAAATTGTAGGATCAGGGCAAATAAATTGTTCGCGCAATTTTGAGAAATTATCCGTGAATGTCCGTGATGCAGAATAAAATGATTGATATTGTTTCCAAAAAGTGATTTACTGTGCCCGACATGATCACGTGATAACAGGTTTAATTTTTTTGAAGAGGTTCAATCATTACCTACCCTCGTTTCTCAGCTGTTCAAAACATTTTCATATGATAAAAGAGTAAAAGGCTTTTATGAATAGCTCCGAAATCTATCACAAAAATGTCTCAAAACCCGCTTCAAAATAACCAAAATAACCTCTCTCCTACAAATGCTGGTGGAAACCTCGCCAGACAAAACCAACTGGGAAGACCCAGACAAAATTTTGTCAATCCTAACTTTAGGCCTCAAGAAGTTTATCTTGATAATGGAAGAACGACTTTACAAAGACCACTAGTAAATAATGGTAGAACAATTAATCCTCAAGTTAGAACCATAAATCCTTCAGCCATTTCACAATTGAGACACAACCAAATGCTCGCTTCAAATTATACATCTATACAAGAAAGGGTGGCCGCACAAAACCAGATCGGACTGACAAATAGCATGTTGTCCCAGGTTCGACCACCGTTCAATAATTTGTCAACTCAGGAAACTTCCGCAGAAAGCATTAATTCTCAGGCTGGTTCTTTACACGATCAGTCTACTGTAAATAGTATAAATCCTAAAAGTAATATTAGTAATCAACCTGCAAATATTCAAACCGTTCAAGCAGGTCAGTCTGCAAATAATTCTACTATACAGATGAATCATTCTTCTGTAAATCAAGGCATTATGTCTCTAAATATCACAACAGGTCAACAAAGACATTCTGTAAATAATCTAACATCTCAAACTATAGTTTCAGCTAACATAGCAGATCAAAGCGTAGCATCAACATCGCAACCACAAAATCGGCTTACTCTTGAAGAGAGAAAGAAGTTAACACAGGGATCCAAGCATCTAATGCCGCCTCGTAAACGGCCTCCACCCAAAAAGCCAGTTCAACCTCCAATAGAGAAAAAACTTGTTCAAGAATTTGTTATAACTGGCTCGATAATTAACGCAATGAAGAAAGTAAATCTTATGAGATTACATCGAGGAAATAATGTGTTAGATAAGTTTCAACCCCCAGTAAAGCTTCATCGACGAGATCCCGAAGCACCTGCTCCGAGCGCCGGAAATACTCGTCAAATTGAAGTTGCCGCCGATGTACCACCCTCAAAAATAACACAGCAAACTGCAATTCCTATCACTGGTGCAGATACTTCTAAAATTGCACCGTTCGCCGGTGCTAGACATAACAAGAAAAATTTATTCAAGAAAAGAACCACACAAATTTATTTGGCTGATGATAGGCAAAGACAGCTTAAAGCTGAAGAACGATTACCATGGGTATTGGAGGACTATGATGGTACTCATACATGGGTTGGCCATTTCGAAGAAACTGATGCAAAATATGGATTCTTGATAAAAGATAGACTAGATGTATGTATTGTATTAATGGATCTCATTTCATTGCTTTCAACATGCTTTGAAAAGCATAAAATCAAACTATATAATATTTTATGAATCTCATTTCAGGATAATAAGCTTAGATTCCTTCCTTCGCATCGGTGGTATACATTCCGTCCACAAATTAAGTACAAGACTCTCACAATCGAAGAAGCAGAAGAGGAGGTAATTGTCTATAGATCAAATAAATTTTTTTTTTATTTAATTTTTACTTATACGAATTGTTGTAGATGGCAAGAGCTAAAAAGAGAGATAATGATCGCTGGATGATGCGGAGGTGGGGTAAACAAAATGAAAAGGAGAAAAAAATAGCCGAGGAAGAAGGCGGCATTATTAATCTCAAGGCATCATTGAGGACTGTCGAGAATGAGGATGATTTATTCGGTTCTGATGACGAAGGAAATGTCAAAAGACCAAGGAGAGGGATTGAAAGCGATGAAGAGATGGAATATGAGCAGGTTTTTGAGGATGATGAAGAAGAATTGCCCGATGATGCTAACCCTATTGATGAAGAAAACGCAGAAGTCGTCAAGTTAAAGAAAAGAGCCATCCACAAACCTACGTCTCTTGAGGATGAAGATGAGGAAGAAGATCCTTCTCTTAAATTAACTCAGGAAGGAATGCAATTAAAGAAGTTGGTCAGAAAATTAGATGCCAATGAAGCTTACGACGATAGTGATCAGGAATCGAATCCTTATGCTAGTGAATTTGATGAATCTGAAGAAGAATCAAGTTCAGAATCTCCTGCGAGAACTCCGGTTATTGGAGCTGCTGGTACTAAACCCACTCCTACCGTGAAGACTGATAAAGGCAAATCACCTGCTAAACCTAAGACGGCCGTCAAAGCTACCGGAAAAGTGAAAGCAATTGCGACCCCTAAACCGAAAGCGACCGCTGAAAAACCGAAAGGTAAAGCTACTGCGGCTAAAACAAAATCAACATTTACTAAATCTATTCCTCAAAGCAAGATCAAAAGTACAACTAAATTGTCGACTGGTGAAGAAGCACCTGTGAAAACCAAATTTAAAAGTAGTGATAAACCTAGTATGAATCAAATTTCTGGATCCATGCCACAAAGGTCATCTCTCGGAAAGAGATCGACTATGTACGAACCTTCATCTGATGATGATAGGCCTACTACAACTCATAAACGGTTTAGACAAAATGAAACTGCTATATCTTCAACTGCTACATCAAATACAATCAGTCGTCCAGCAAGTATGAACGTTTCTTCTACTGTACGTACAACTACTGGCGACATTAAACGAGTTCGTGAAGTTAAGGAACCTATGCCTACCACAGGTAAGAAAGCCCGAACTGAAAAACCAATTTCTGGTTCTCAAGCAGCGGCTCAAAGTGCTGCTCTTTCTAGCAGCTCACGTGCAGACTCCTCTAGATTGATCTCAGAAAGAGAAGTTCGGCAAATAATCAGCAAGAATCGCGAACTTACAGTGCCCACAATTATCAGAACGTTCCGTAAGAGAATCCAGGAGGATTTACGCAATCGGGATCTCCTTCTCGAGATCACTAAGAACGTAGCTGTTCTTAAGGATGGTTGCCTCGTCTTGAAAGATAAGTGGGGGAAATAAAATGTAATAATGATTTTTAGATTAAAAATAATTATATTCTATCATTTATAGAAAAGCTTTAATTTTTTCATCTTGATTCATAAGTTTATCGCGTATTGCCAATTTTGTCCAATAAATTCAGATTTATAACAAACCATTTTAGAAAGATTATTTATAAATACAGTACATGTAATTTTGAATAATAAGAATATAATTATATAGCCAATTATAAAAAGCTATTTTATTCAACATAAACAAACTTCTTTAACAGTTAATGCTTTTATAAGGCCTGTTCATTTCTGATCGTTCGGATTTTTGATCGGGTGTTGAGTTGATAATTATTGCTGGCGAAATTGTGTAACTCGATCAGCAATCCGAACAACAAAAAGGCACATATGGTTGATCGATGATTTTGATCAAAAACCCGAAATGAAACCATAACCAATAAAATTTCGCAGAAAATATTTATTGATAATCTAAAAAAAAAAAGTTACTGTATATAAAATAGAATTCTTCATTCTTTTTATATAAAAAAATTATTGAATTAACGTTAAAAATTCAACATGAAAGATAATATAATATCAAAAGAACTTAATACTGGTGAAGGAAAAAATCGGTATAAAGTAATGTCTTTTCGTTATAATTATAATTTTTTGTGAATTAGCGTTTTAACTTATTTGTTCGAATTTTATAGTATCAAACTTTTAATTTACGTGTAAAAAGTATCAAAATTGATGTATCGCGTCGTGATAAAAGCATTCAGGACGAGCCAGAGGTAATATTTATGTCTTTATAAAAAAAAAAAAATAATAAAGGATTAACGAAACGATTTTTTTGAACAAGGCTCTTGGTTCCTTTTTTCAAGAATCATTGGAATCATGGAAAGAACTTAATTTGACAATGCATTTCGCAACTTTTGTTCGCGAAGTGTCGGAATATTGCCAATCATTACCTCAATTGCTATATCATAAAGAAAAAGTTGTTGAGATTTTGGAAAAACATCTTAAAGTTGAAGATAGTCTAGCATTAGAACCTTTGTTAGAGTAAGCAGCTAACGACATTTATATTATTTATAATTCATCATTGTGATAAATGACTAACCTTGTTTTTAATATTAGTCTAACAACAAAATTCGCTAAAGATATTGAAATTGAATTCTATTCATATTTCGAACGAATATTTGCATGCATCGTTCCTTTAACGAAACATCGAGATGTTAATACTCTTGAAGTATGTAATTTAATTTAATAATATTATAAATCGTTCATTGGTTAACAATTTTCTTTCATTTCTCTATTTATCATATTTAGTGCACCTTTAATTGTATTGCTTATTTATTTAAGTATTTAATAAAACAAATTATTGATAACTTATGTCCAACATACCGGTAAATGACATATTTCAGTAACTTATAGGATTATTTATATTTTATTAACATTAAATTTCAACAAAGTCTTATAGCTCCTTTACTTGGCAAAGAGTATCAGAAACCTTATATTCAACGTTTTGCTGCCGAATCGTTTGCATTTCTTCTACGCAAGGCTCAAAAAAATAATCTTACAGAGGTCGTTAACTATATTATCGAGTCAGCATACGAGTCTTCATCAGAAGTTTATTGCAGAGGGTTGAGCATGCTATTTAGTGAAGCTGCTAAAGTATATATCTTATTTTATTTAATACCGGCTATCTATATCCGATTTATTAATTTTTATTTCTTTGCATTTCTAAAAAGTCTTCTAAAAATAGACTTCATTCAAGGGGACAGATTTTATTGAAAGAATTATTATACGCCTCTTATTCGAAAATTGAAAAAGATAATGATATTGGTAAGCTATATTCAATAATGTATATTATAATGATGGTCAAATGCGTTACCTTTATTAATTGATAATCATTTCTTATTAATTAATATAATAGAATCAAATCCATGTTATTTTATTCTTACAGAAACCACAATTTCACTTCTTCACTATGTCAAATGTGGGAGTTTTGGCCCAATATGGGATTTATATTTGGAGGAAATTGAAAATATTATTAATGATAATTTAATTAAATTTGATAAAAATGGAAGTGAAGTAATACCGGAGACGCTTAAATTAAAAATTGGATTAAACTTATCTCTGATTTATATCTGTTTGACCTTTCGTAAAGGGAATCAAGTTAATGGTGAGAATTTGATTGTAAAAAAGTAAGTTAATATCATGATTACAGAGATTAATCGACATTTGATTTTTATTAGACTTCAAGCGTATCTTCATAATGATACAAAATATAACTCCATATATTCTTGTTTCGTCATCACAAGGATTGACTTTACTTCAACGACAATTCTTTAAAATATGCGCATCCTTGCTCACATTGGCCAATTTGGATGATATCCTCGGTGGAAAAGTAATCTTGGATAAAATATTCGAATATGACGTATGTTAAAGTTGTTATTAATCTTTAAGGTTTTATTAAATATATTAAATCAAAATTAAATAAACGATTAATATAGGATGTTGACGCTGTATTATCGTTTTCATTAAACCTATCATTTCTAAAATGTAAAGATTATACCAAAATTATGCTTCCGTACATTATAAGGTAATCATTTATAAATTTTACTACTTATACCTTGTATCATGAAATTTCACTCATAAGGTTTCCTTTTTTAGGTATTCTACAATTCATTGGGAAAAATATAGTACAAAGTTGACACTTTTTTTGGCCAATTTATTTTTTACGAATACCATTTCCATTTCTTCGGGAACTATTTCTTCACTCGTTACGAAGAATGGATTAATAAGATTTCCTAAAATACAAATGAAGTCCGAAAAATCAGAGCCTATAATGCATAAGAACGTTACGAATGAATTAATAAATATAATCAAGCAGGATTATGATTGGTATTCAGATGCTCAGAAATTGAGTTTTGCTTATTTAAAAGAGGTGTGATTATTATTATTATTATTATTATTTGATCTTTTTTGGATCTTTTTGTTAATTTCATGTTTCAAACTTCTAGGAGTCCAGCTGCCATTCAGAAATATCTCTAATTTCAGCCGCTCTTACTATTATTCACCACTTGACTGCACCAATTAATTCGGTTATTAATTCATTATCATCATTAATAAAGTCATTGTTGAGTTGTCTACAGTCATCTAACATTTCAGTTTCGCCACTCACAAGGAGACCGTTTATTGACGGTTCACCACTTTTTTTAATACAAAATTTATTGGGTCAAGCTATTGAAACATTAACAATATTTGTGAAAAAAAATTGTGAAAATGAAGAAATTGAATTTATGGTTGAACTATGGAGGGTGATTATTGATGAGATCTTGATTCGATATGGGACCAATGAAATGATTTTGAAAGGAATTGCGGAATATCTGGAATATATTAGGCTACGGTAATTTACTTAACAATTATTATATTATCACGTTCTACATCTAAATTTTTCATTTTATTATAGTTCTAAACACAGTCTATTTCATACAAACGATCTCGAGAGAATTTATCCTTATTTAAAATCCAATTTTAGCTCATTTAAACACCATCGTCGATTATATTCATTTAAAATCCTCAAACTTTTTGATCAATTTCATCTCCGGTCTGAAGAGAATTTTATAGATGTCAAGGAACCTTGCGAAATTTTCGCAATGGCATTAAAAGTTGAAGAAGTAGAAACTAATATATGTTCGTATCGTGAAAAAACTTTGCAGCTTCGAAAGTTGAATACTTTGTTATCATCAAAACGTGTACCGGAATTTTATGCTGATGTTATTCCATTGTATTGTTTTGGTACGTGTTAAAAGATTATTTATTATCTATAAAAATTTTCTTGTATTTTGAAATTCAAATTTCAATCATTTTGTTTTAGGCTTATTGACCATAAATTTTAGTGCTATATGGCCGGATGCAATAAATGCTTTAGTGAACTTTTCACAAGTTGATCCACGTACATTTTGGAAATTGATTCATGACGAACTTTCACGATTTGAGAATGAGTCAAAATTAGCAGAAAATGGATTTTCGAAAAATACTCTAGAAGCACATTTTGATAAAGTAAACAATATGTTCATTTCTATGAAGATTCATGATGAACCATTCGACTGTCCCCATTTAAATAAATTTAATAAAACTGCAAACGAGTCATCCAAGTTCTTTAAAAACAATGGTCAACACAGTTTATTAATGCATTATGTTTCGGTAAATAAAAATTATCTTTGGTTTAGTATTTTATTCGAAATTAACTCGAAGAGTAAAATATTTTTTCACCAATTTTTAACAAACCACTTTTTTTTAATAGGTGTGTTCTCCTCTTCAGAATGAAAAGATAGACCATTGGAATTATTATGGACTTCTTATCAAAACTCTCACCGAAGTGCCACACATCGTTGAACAGCATTCTAAGCAGTTTGTTCCCTTTTTCCTTCATTTTGCAGAATCCGAATATGATCCAGGAGATGAAGAACTTTTGAATAAGATGGAAATCGATAATCAAAATCTAAGTCCAGTATTAGAAACGAAGTCCGAAGATGTAGTTTATACGCTAAATAGTGAAAATGATTATCAAAAAGAAAATAAAATAGAGATTCTTAAAATCCTTGAACAATCTCCAAAAACGACGAGAACTAAAATGGCACTTTTCTTGAAACTTTTCGCCAAATTTAAAAATCCACGATCGGTATATAAGTCAGCTAATTTACAAAATGTTTATTTGAACTTGTTGACGATAGGGGATATCAAAGTTCAGGGTCTCGCTTTGGAATGTCTTTTCACTTGGAAATATAAAGGTGTTACTCCTTATGAAGATAATCTCCGTAATTTTGTTAATGAGATTAAGTTTAGGGATGAATTATCAACATTTTCTTTAAATAAGGATGGTGGTTCTATAGAATTTTCACATAGAGCTGAGATAATGCCTATTGTTATTCGACTTTTATATGGTCGGATGATATCAAGAAAAGGAAAATCATCAGCAAGTTCCGGAATGAGAGCTCGTAGAGTTGCGGTATTGGCCGCTTTAACAAATTGTTTGGAATCTGAATTGGGATCCTTTGTAGATTTATTACTTGAACCGTTCACCATTATTCGTAATAAGCCAGGCGTAATAGACAACGAGTTTAAGTTTGTATCAGATTTAGATGTAGGTAAATTTGTGACATATCGGAAACAGCTCGGATATTTGAACTTTTTGGAAGATATATTAAAGCAATTAGGTTCTTACCTATTGCCATTCATTCCTGATATGTTCAAAGTTGTTATATATATTGTACATGATGCTCAAAGGAAATTGATGCCACAAGATGAAGTTCAAAGTGATACTTTGAATTTTCATGAAAAACCTGATGATGACATTAAGATGGATATTGATGAAGTTCAAGAAGGTAGTCAGAAAGTAAAAGTTATTAGGCAATTAGGGTTGAAACGAATTGCTGGGTTCTTCAAAATCCGTGCATTTTTTGACTATCAACCATACGTTAATGCTATGTTTGAATCCTTCATATCGGTTAGAATCCCCAAATTAGATACTGAAAGTACGCAAGCACCTTCAGTATTAATGGAATTATTTGCTATATGGGCTTCACGTAAAGAATATTTGTTGTTCTTGGTCGAATATAATAAGGATGTCTTGCCTAAAGTTTTTGCATGTTTGTCAGCAAAAAAAGTTCGTGAATCTGTAGTTTCAAAAGTATTGGATATTGCTGATGGAATCTTAAGAATGTGTGGAGATGAAATGGATACTGATGAATTTCAAGAGGATGAAAATTCTTTAAAAAATCGAGTTCTAAAACCATATGTTTCATCATTATTGGATAATCTCGAATACGTGTTACTACAATCGAGTCGAAATACTTCCTTTGGAAAAGATTACTTTTCAAAACGAGAGATTGCAATACTATCTCAGATTGCAGGTTATATAGTAAATGGAGATCAAGCAAAGAAATTGGTGGATTTACTTTTACCATATCTTCGAAAACGTCCACAAGTTGTTCCAGAAAAAACCAAGGCAGACATTTTACAAATTGTTGCAAATTTTTTACACGTTATTCCAGGATTTCAACTTTGCGAGGAATTGTTTTATAAATATTATAACTATATATCATATGAGTTTTCAACACTATACTCCAGAGATTGTCGGTTATGTTTAGTAAAAATTCTTGTTGAGTTTTCCAAATATGATGAATCCTTGAAAGAAGTTGTGACCATAATTGAAGATCTTAACGCATTTTCGACAAAGAGGTTAGATGAACCCGATTTTGATAGACGCTTAGATGCATTCAATCGAATTAACCAGGACTTGTATAAGAAATTTAATACAGTACATTGGTTACCATTATTATTTAATTGCTTATTCTTTATTCAAGACCCGGAGGAACTTTCAATCCGGAACAACTCGTCTTTCTGTATTACGAGATTTATTAGTCGTGTTGTTGAGAATCATGAAATTACTAAGACTCGGGAAGATTACCAAAACCTTTTAATTAAAGTAATTTTTCCAGCAATAAAGAGAGGAATGAAAAGGTCTATAGAATTAGTACGAACTGAATTCCTTACGATTTTATCATGTGCTATAAAGAAATGTCCGTCAATACCTCAATTTTCTGATATGGCCTGCTTATTATTTGACGATGATGAGGCCAATTTTTTCGATAACGTTCATCACATTCAAATTCACCGTCGTGTTCGTGCACTCAAAAGATTTTCTAATGAGTGTGCAAATGGAAAAATAAAGAATAATAACTTAGTACAGATCTTTATACCGCTCATTGGCCATTTTATCTTTGAAGCGGATAGAGTATCGGAACATTTACTAATTAATGAGACTATATCAACAATTGGGATTATTGCGGGTCAACTTCCATGGGGACAATACAATACTCTTTTAAAACATTATATGAAATTGATTCCTAAGAAACCGAATTTAGAAAAGGTATTGGTTCGAACTATTATCGCCATACTGGACAATTTTCATTTTGATGTTTCTGAAGCCCAGGTTTCTGAAACTCAACTTAAAGGTTCAAAAGAATCCATCTTTCAAAAAAAAAAGATAATAAAACGTAATCCTATTAATGAAGTGTCCGATAGACACTTAATTGCTGATGATGATGCGGATGAAGGCATTAATGCATTAGTAGAAGAATCTGAAGGTTCACAATTATCTGACAGTGAAGAGATGGTAGATGAGGCAAAGACCAGATCTTTAGCTGACCGTATTCATAATTATATTGTTAATGATTTACTTCCTGATCTTAAGAAATATTTAACCCAACATGATAATGAAAATATCACCATTCGTGTTCCCGTTGCGTTAGCAATTACTAAGCTTTTAAGGGCTTTACCCGAAATATCACTCCGGATCAATTTACCTGGATTGCTTACTACTGTGTGTCAAATATTAAGAAGTCGTCAGCAAGATGCTCGCGACACCACCAGGAATACTCTTAGCAAAATTTCAACTTTTCTTGGACCTTTATATTTTTCTTTTATAGTAAGGGAGTTACAAGGTGCATTGACACGGGGATATCAGTTACATATTCTTGGGTATACATTACATACTCTTCTGGTCAATTTGGCACCAAACCTGCAAGTAGGTGCTCTTGATTATTGTCTTCAGCCTATAACTGACATTATTATAAATGATATATTTGGTGAGGTTGGTAAAGAGAAAGATACAGAGGAAATTACTGGAAAAATAAAGGAAATGAAATCCACTAAAAGTTTCGGGACATTTGAACTTCTTGCCAAAATTATTGAATTCAAGAACATTGGAATTTTGCTGATACCACTGAAAGAGATTATGCGTGAAACACAAAACTCTAGAGTTTTAAGTAAGATTGATGATATATTACGAAAAATATCTATTGGATTGAATTCAAATCCACAGTTCGATACCAAAGAAATGGTAACTTTTTGTCAAGGGCTTATTTCACAAAATCTCGATATATTGAAAGCAAAAAAAAGGGTACATTCTAAGAAAAGTAACATGGATACAAACTTTACGGTTCAACTTAAACGTCACGTTTCGGAACCAGTAGAATATTATGATGCCAACTCTTACAGATTTGTGGAGTTCGGTTTGACAATATTTCTAGCGGCCTTAAAACGGGATAAATTTGATATGAAATCCGAGGAACAACTCGAGTTATTGGCACCATTTGTGGATACGGTTGGAAATGCATTATATTCAAAGCATCCAAATGTCAATATACTCGCGTTAAAGGTCATGTGCGTATTCTGTAATCTTAAGATAAAATCCTTGGATGATGCTTTACCAGTAATTGTAAAACAAATTTATACGTTAATAAGGACTTCAAGTACTACCAATTCGGAATTAGTTCAAGCATGTTTCAAATTACTTACAGTTATAATACGCGATCGTAAGAAGTTTGAATTTAAGGAAAGTCAATTAACTTTTCTCATAAATCTTATCCGTCCTGATCTTGAAGAACCTCAACGTCAAGGAACAACGTTCTCGTTGATACGTGCTATCATATCACGTAAATTCGTGGTCCCTGAAATATACGATATGATGCAAATAGTTACTGAAATAATGATCACGAGTCAGGCAACTCCTACGCGTGATTTATCGAGACAACTATTAATTCAATTTTTATTGGACTATCCTCAAGGGCGTGGTCGATTGAAGAACCATTTAAACTTATTGATCAAAAATTTGAATTATGTTTTCGAAAGTGGACGACAATCAGTAATGGAAATGTTGAATTTAATATTGATTAAATTTAATGAAGAAGTTTTAATGGAATATGCAGAAATATTTTTCTTATCTTTAGCTATGTCATTAGTAAATGATGATTCAAATAAATGCCGAGAAATGGCTGGGGAATTAATTAAAATTCTTTTAAATAGAATGGATGAAATAAGACTTAGAAATATTTATGTCTTACTGGAAAAGTGGTTTGAGCAGAATGATAAAAGAAATTTACAGAGGATGACTGTACAAGTTTATGGACTTGTAATTGAAGCTTTTGGTGACAAATTCAAAAAACATATATTTGAATTATTAGATATCTTAGAAAAAGCTTTGAATATAAGTCGACAAGTTTTAGAACAATTAGAAGAAATTGCTAAAGATGATGATTCCATGACGATAGATAATGTTGATTGGGAACTTGGATATTATGCTCTTAACACTTTTACAAAACTAGTAAAGAAATTTCCCTCAGTTCTTTACTCAAACAAATCAAAAAATATTTGGGTATTAATTGAAAATAATATACTTTTCCCTCACAGTTGGGTAAGGCTTTCAACGTGTAGATTATTTGGATTATATTTTTCAAATATTAATCCCGAGACTAAGATTATTAGTGTAACTAATGAACGTAATGAAAATTTAACAAAAATGACGTTGAGAACATTAGCGAACAAGTTCTGTATTCAATTGAAAAGTGAGTATTTGGGATCAGAACTTGCAACACAAATTGTAAAGAATTTGTTTTTTATTGGAAAAAGTCTCTATTATTTAAATTCTGATGATGAAAATACATTTGTCGAAGATAATGAGCATTTTGGAGATAAAGAGGTTGAAAATCAGGATGATGATCAGAACAAAGATGAAAGTCAGGAAACGAATGGCGATAACAAAGACGAAGAACCCGAGTATATTACTGGCCAATCCAATGAAACTACAACCAAAGCGAAACCTTCATTATTTTGGTTGTTTAAAAAATTGTCATATCAAGCAAGATTAGCTCCAATCAAGAAAGAAGATAATGATTTACAGGTATGTTTAATTTAGGTTGTTAAATGTTTCTGTTTCCGTTTTAGATTCTTGAATTTGTTTATCAATAGCGGATTTTATCTATATACAGCGTACTAGTATATATCAATGGATGGCAGCAATGACAACATTTATGCCGCCATCGGACCTGACACCTTACCTAATGCTTATAATTAGCCCTATTTATCGATTTGTTAACGATGAAACTATTAAAGGAAACGAGATCGGTAAGTAACTTTTGTTTGCACGACTGCTTTAAAATTTAACGCGCATTAAATCAGGTGATTGATATATTATGCATTAGATAACCTTAAACAATTTGGTAAAGAGATACTTGATTTGGTACAGAAACGTGTCGGTACAACACAATTTCACATTTCTTACAATAAGATTAAACAACAAGTTTTGAAAGTTAGAAGAGAACGTAAACATAAAAAAGCAATCATGGTAAGAAAATTTGATTTTAAATTATATATATTAAATTCGTTACAAATCTAAAATCTTATTTCGCCCTTTATCAGGTTCTTGTGGATCCTGAATCTGCAGCCAAACGTAAACTTCAAAAGAACGAAATGAAAAGGCAAAATCGTAAAAGAAAGAATGCAGAATTTGCAAGTCAAAAATTGAGATATGGTGTTACGAAGAAACGACGCACTTTAGATAATAACCCATAGAAATATAAGCATAGCGGACATGCTTTATTACTTTTCGTTAAAAACCATTAAAATTCTAACAAAGTATGTGATAAAGTAAATGCCTAAATAATATAAGTTAAAATGTGACATTTTATTGTTACATAACTTTGAGTTAATTTTATATGTTAACTAGCTTTATAAGGCTAAAACGCATAAAAAATGTACCTGCTTAATATGCTGTTTACTTTTTCCAAAAGAATTCAAATTTTTTTCTATTCGTTCTTTTCGCGTTTCAATGTATTTTATATGGCGATTTTTGGTTAGAACATGTGATACTTGGTCAGACACGTGATTAACTACTTTACAAAAAAATTAATCCATAGATTCGTTTAATAGAAGAAGCGAAATTACTATACTAACTAAAAAGTTTGTATTTGAAAAAGCAAAAAAAAATACTTTCTAAAGAAAAAGATTATATTAATAATAATTATAGCATATATTAAATTGAATATATCTATATTTAATTATAATAAATAATCATTTCAAGTGATGTTAGTTCGTATAACTTCTTATATTTATATATTTATATTGGTTTACAAAACAAAATTCGAAAAAAGCAACCTCTAATGAAGATTATCAGAATTTTACGTGAATACATTTTTCTGATTTATCATTTGATGTTAGCGTACATAGCAATTTATGTTATACATTTATTAGCTGTAATAAGTCTCTGTCATCAATTACATCCAATACAAATATTTCAATTCCCCTTGATTTTTTGGTTTTTATCAGCGCTTATGTACTGTATGAAAAACGAGGAAAAAAAAAAATTAACTATTTCTAAATGAAAGGAGTATTATTTATATTCAACATCGAGATTTTTCACTAAAATAAATTGCTTAGATTCGTTTTTTTTATCAAAACGGTCGGAATCCGCCATAAATCTACTTGTTAAATTTTTTTGTTATCGTTGTATTTTATGTTTAATATCTTTGTCACATGATAAGGTAGGGAAGACTTCAGTATCGCTAAAGTTATTTTCTAATCTACCAGGTTTCTGAAAACAAATACAGGAGATAATCAATGCCTTTAGAAAATTAATCGATTTTCTCTTGTAAGGTTAGAAAATGGCTATTTCTTTTAATCCAAATGCGAATATAATAAATTCAAAAATCTTCCTCCTATGATGACAATATTGGCAGAGGATGTCTTATTTTCATTCTAATTTACTTACTCAAAATGCTAACAGAAATTTTTAATTCGATATTTCCTACGTATCGATCGATAAATTCATTCATCTTCGTTAAACTTATAATGAAGAAGGTTGACTTGGAACTTATCAAAATGGGAGTACATATTCGCGATGCAAATATCAAGTTCTTTTTTTTGTTCTTCTGGCAAAATGTATATGATTGGTTAGAAAGCGTGACACAGTAAAATAAAATGTATTATTAAACGAAATCAATTTATTTTGTAAAAACTTTCTTTTCAAGAGTTTATTATACATCATATGGATGTAGCCTGCGTAATCCATAATTATTTCTCATAAAATTATTTTGATTTCTTAAAAAATGCTTTTCATTCATTAGAGATTCGTTCATTCAAAATAATCTCTTCTAAATTTTCATCTCCGGTTCAAGCGGGCTTTTTCGGTATATAAACATCTCATATTATATCACATCAAATGATAGCAATAAAAGAAAACACTTCCTATTTCGAAACTCTTTCCTATTATCATTTTTTTTTTGCTTATTTCGTGAAAAAAAAATTTTTGATTTTTGGATTGTCGTTTCTGCAATCGCTAACAGTCTCGTGGCAGTCAGTCCTATTATGAAAAATAATTATAAAACGTTTTAGTATTTCATCTAAGTAAAGAAAGAGGAGGAACACGAACACCCGAATTCAAATAACATAAATTTTTTGCTAGCCGACTAGTAGGACCTCTTCAGGGACGATGATCTCCGGCGACGAAATTTCGCAAAATCTGCCGGCGTTTATTTTAAAATCTGCCCCGCTTTCTGCGGCTTATTATCATCATTCTGCGGATATTTTATTATATTAATTATAATTTCTGCTCATTTCGGCGAAAAAACAAAAATAAATTTTATTAATTTTATTATCCCAAAAAATTTAATTGCCATTAAAATACATCATATTTAACTTTTTCAAAGAATCTTCTGAAAGATTTTGGCGATTATT